ATGTGGCAGAAGTGGCCATTGCTGGAAGGGGCCACACAGAAAAGGAACAACCTCTAGGAACAAAAACTGACCCCCGGCAAAAAAGCCAGGAAAGAAAGAGGACATCTCAGTCTTACAAGCACAAGGAAGTGAATTTGGCCAGCAGTCTGAATGGGTTTGGAAGCAGAATCTATTCCAGAGCCTCCAGCAAGAAATGTATACTGACAATATCTTGATTTTAGTCTTCTAAGACTCTTAATTAGGAGACCCAGTTAAGCTTACCTGAACTTCTGACCTACAGAAATAACCAGATTATAAATCTGTGTTGTTTCAAGATGCTAAATGTGTGTAATTTTTTTGTAGCAGTAGTGTAAAAATAATACACAAGAAGCAATCTGGCAAAAAGAAAAAGAAAAAGCAGGATGTGGTAGTGCATGCCTATAATCCCAGCAACTCAGGAGGCTGCAGCAGGAGGAAACCAAGTTCAAGGCCAGCCTCAGCAACTTAACAAGACCCTCACTAATAAGGGTGTTAACTTAATAAGACCCTTAACTCAATTAAAAATTAAAAGGGCTGGGGATGTAGCTCAGGGGTAAGGCACCTCTGAGGGTTCAATCCCCAATAAGTGCCCCATACAAATGGAAAAGGAACAACTTCAGATCTCCTGGAAGCACAAGGAAACTGAATTATGAAGTATCCATTGGTTGATCTCAACAGCAAAAGGAAACTTTTCAATGTTCCCCCAGCCCTCTGACACTTCTCCAGCCCTCTCTCCTGACTGGTGATGAGGGTTATCCCTTGAGATTTCACCTAGAAGTAACTCAAATGCTTCAATAAAATGCTGTTCAATGATTCTGCAAAGTCTGCAGACCTCTCCAGAGGCTATGCTGTGGTGATACCAAGGAGCCACTATCACTACAGTCCCCACTTCTTCCACAGTACTAAGGTTTCCCAGCATTCAGCCAGCTTCCTTTCTTCCACACTGTTTCATCCCACCCCCAGTTAGTCATCCAGGATTGTCCACAAGCTTCCCTTTCTCTGGAATCCTGTCTTCCTCTTTCAGTTTCTACCCTAAGCAGGCCTTTAAAATCTCCTGTCTAATTAAGTCATCCCACAACGATTTTACAGATAAATGTGATAGGCAGTAATCTAGCAGAGGGGAAAACAGGATGAAGGACAGGTGTGTGTCCCCCAAGAGCTTAATAAAACTCCCCAAACAGCCTAAATGGCCTATCTTCTGTCCTTGATTCATTTCCAAGGACTCGGGGGATCTTCCCAACACGACCTGCATTTCACCACCTCAAAGTAGGCCACTTATCAAATACAGGCTAAACTCCTTAGCACAACACTCCCAATCACTAACATGACAGCACTGGGTCATCTCATCCATTATCTCCAGGATGTCCTTACTCCCCAACCCTAGAACTCTCAGCCCCAACAAGGTCCTTTATGCAATTAAGTGCTCTCATTTCCCCAATCTTCTGCTTGGAATGGTAGTATTTCACACTCGTACATGCCTTGCTAGGACTCAGTTTGTTCATCACCTACTCCACAAGGGTGCTCCTGGTCGGCTAACTGCGACTTTGCAAGAAGCCCCTGCAGCACCCACAGCCTAAGGGAGCACTGCAAGGAACTGTTCCTCTACTGACAGTTCCATCTCCCAGGGCAGTGGTTGTGTTTCTGGCAATTCTGTGGTGAGCACAACTCTCCAGTAAGCTCAGTTAAAAACTGCTAAATTAAACAAGTACTCAGTGGTGAGGGACTGGAGTTCCGTTGGGAGGAGACACCAACTCCAATTCTTCACCCGCTCCTCCAGAATCAAAGATCACTTCCTGACAGCCGCTTCCTGCCACTCTTTGGCCAAGTTCCTACTACTCTGACGGGTCATCCTTAGCTTCTCAGTCCCTACCGCCCACAGCTCACACACACACTCTCTTTCTTCCCCTCCCCATGTATATTACATATACCCCCCTCCCGGAAAAAAAAATCCTTAAGTGCTTTTCTGGAAGAGAAACCACGAAAGACCTGGTAAAACCACTACGGGCTGCCTCTTTCCCTTTCCGTATCCAGTGTGAACCAAAGCGGGGGAAAGTCCGCACCCAAAGCACACAAATGACGAATGAGAAAACCCAGGACGATGACTCATAAGCCAAGGCTCCATGGTTTGCAGAGTTCAGACCTGGAAAGCTAACAAGCAGCCTTACCCACCAACAGAGGAGGTAACCACCGAGGGCCACGCCCTTGGGCTCACGAAAGTCGTGAGTACCTTTCATCTCTAGGTGCCCTGGAGACCCCGCAGGTTCCCGGGCCCGGGATCTAGAATTGGGTCCAGCCTCGGCCTCGCCCCCCGCGCGAGAAAGGAATGTCCGGCCATCCAGTCCCCCGCCCCGGCCCCTACTCACATTTGACTAACCAGCTTCTGCCGGAAGGCGGCGCTCCGCCAATCGGTCTCCTGCCCCGATACGTCCATGCCGGTAACCCAGTTCCCACAAGCCGCGTCCCACCCCTCCTCCTCCTCCGCCGCCGCTGCTGCCGCCTCTACCGTAGAGCCAGGCCCAAACCCGGAAGACGTCCGCGGATCCTTGGCCGCACCGGAAGTAGAGCATGTATTGTGGGAAATGGAGTCACGCGCGAGGGCCTACGGGAAATGGAGTTCTCCTTACCTGTTGTTAGCTTTCCCAGACCCTGGCACCAGGGAGTCATGCGCCCTCTCCCGGAGCGGCGGTCTTTCGTAGCCTGTACCCTATTTGTTTGGAGCTGGAGAGAGTGGTTGCTGCATGGAACTCCCTGTGCTGTCCGCTGGAGGGGCTGGCCTTTAACATTTTCTATGACCCTACTGTGTTTTGGCCTCATCAAGTCCTTGAGGTCTGAATCCCTCAGGAATAGCCAGACAAACTGCCAGTCAGATGTCTTCAGCAATACTTGGGAGAGGGTCTTTCTTTTTTTTTCTTCTTTTTTGGGGGATCGAATCCAGGGGTACTTTACCACTGAGCTACATTTCCAACCCCTTTAAAAAAATTCGAGACAGGGTCTTGCTAAGTTGTCCATGCTGACCTCAAACTTGTGATCCTCCTGTCTCAGCCTCCCTAGTTACTGCTCCAGAGAGAGGGTGCTTCTTTATCAAATAGGTGTGTGAAAGGTTCTGTTCCCTGACTTCCTGTGACTGCCAGAACTGTGTCTGAGGAGTGAGTTACCAGACACTCTTGTGACTCTTCTTTCCATTGGATCTGTAATCTCAGATTCTACCCATGGCTTTATTTTGTGACAAACTACGTTTGTTAATTTTCAGAGTCTTCATATTGAGCTTTCTTCTTGTCCCTGTTATAGAGAACACATTCAGCCCAGTTGGTCCCTGGAGGACTGACATCAAAACAAAGTGAGTGGGAGGCCGAATGAGAGGATTCTGGGGTTCTGAGTATAATTTTATGAGGATAAAATTTCTCCACATTGGACCAATGGACTTATATTCTGCTCATGGGTGGGGGGTTGGGGGTGGTGTGAGGTGACTTCACAAGAGCAAGGTAAATACAAATTTGACCTTCAGAGAGTAAGTATACTGGCACCTAATGATGCACACTGAATTCTAGGCCCCATCTGGGCTATGTAGACCCCTTGTCTCTTAGCCTTAGGCAGGAAAAGGGTGGGGTGGGAGGGGTGTGACCAAATTCCCCAAAGGAGCCCCTCTTGCCATCAGAGTTTCAGATCTTGCATTGATGTGAAAGCTTTTCACATCTTCAAACTTTTTTGCTATCATTCTCCCAAAATAATTTGTAAAAAATTATACCTAGGTGTGATCAACTTGTCCTGGTTTGCCTGGGATTTTGCAGGTTTTTAGTTCTGAAAGTGCTGAGTTCCTGTAATCACCTCAGCTCCAGGCCAACCAGAATGATTGATCACATTATCTGCACCACCCCACTTGTATATTTTTTAATTGTGATATAATTCACATACCATAGAGTGGTTCGCGATTTTAGGAAATCCTTTTTCTTTTCATATTGAGGATTGAACTCAGGGACATTTTACCACTGAGCTATATCTCTGGTCCCTTTTATCTTGTGACAGGTTCTCACAGAGTTGCTGAGCATCTTGCTGAGATGCTGAGACTGGCCTTGAACTTGAAATCTTCCTGACTCAAACTTTGAATTAGCTGGCTGGGATTATTAGCATGCACCACTGTGCGTGGCCAGTTCACCTTTTTTTCTTTTTAATTCACTTTTTTGTGTATTTTTTATTTTAATTAACTGTACATGATAGAATACATTTATGCATTTTGATATATCATACATAGATGGGATATAATTTCTAATTTTTTCTGAGTGTACATGTTGTAGAATCAAATTGATCATACAGTCACATATATACATAAAGTAATAATGTCTGTTTTATTGTACATGCCCTCCCCTTCCTTCCCTTCCTATCCCCACGTCCCCTCCCCTTCCCTCCCTTCACTCACTCTACCTAATCTAATGTAACACTATTCTTCTCTAGTGCCTCCTGCCTTATTATGAAATAGCATCCACATATTAGAGAAAACATTCAGCCTTTGGTTTTTTGGGATTGGCATATTTCACTTAGCATGATATTCTCCAGCTTCATCCATTTACTGGAAAATGCCATAATTTCATTCTTCTTTAAAGCTGAGTAATATTCCATTGGGGGGAAAATATCACACACACACATACACATACACACACACACACACACACACACCACATTTTCTTTATCCAGTCATCTATTAGACACCTTGGTTGGTTCCATATTTTAGGGATTGTGAATCCAATTTAGAATTTTCAAGTCTATTCACATATTCATAAAGCAGTGTAACTGTTACAATCTTTTGTACATTTTTTTTCAATACTGGAATGAACCCAGAGCCACTTTGCCACTGAGCTATACACCCAACCTTTTTTTATTTTGAGTTGCTGAGGCTGGCCTTGAACTTGCAATCCTCCTGCCTCAACCTTTTAGTAGCTAGGATTACAGGTGTACACTGAAAGGCGAGTGACTCACCGAGACACAGATTCAACCAAGAGACTTTATTGGGGGGCTGTCCGAAGGGGAAGAAAAGGAGAGGCAGAGAGCAGAGAGAGAAGAGGAGAGCAGAGAGAAATAGACCAGAGAGCAGGGAGAGAGAGAAAGAAGAGGAAGAGGTAAGAGTGGAAGAAGGCAGAGAGCTTGCAAGCTATGGATTAAGAAGGGTTGTATAGGTGACATGGCAGGTGCTGATTGGCAGGGTGACTCAGGAATAGCAAGCAGACACTGGGTCCTGTGGGGATTGGTCAAGAAAACCTTCGAATTTGGTGCTCTTTGGCGTGGCGCCCTTTGGAGAGGAAGGGTAGGGGTAAATGATCCCGTGTTGTTCTCCTGAGAGGAAACTTAACTTTGGCGGGGGGTCTTCCAAATACCCAACATTCCTCCCTGTTTGTTTTTGTGTTGGGAGCAGGGCAATGAGATTTTCTGGCTACTTACTGCTGGAGAGGGACGACAAGTGTGAAGGAAGGGAGGGGTGGTCAGGGTGTGGGGACAAGAGAAGCATAGCTGTAAAGGCCAGGGCACTGAAGATGTGAATTTCCTTGGGGCCGAAATCGATGAAAGTTCCTCGAAGCCATAGGTCTTGGGTAGTCTCGATCCAATTTTTGTCCCTGCAAATGGGGTGAATCAGCCAGATGTCCTGTTGGAGGGCTTCCATGGATTCCAAGAAGCAGGTGCACCACGTGATAACCCTAAAACACCAAAGACACCTGAAGGTAAGGAGAAGAGGAGGAAAGAGGAGACAACACTTTAGCTTCTGGCCAGAAGTCCAGTGAGAGGGACTGGCTGAGAAAAGACCAGCGGTCAGGAGGAGGCACACAAAAGGGAATGGGCCTAGAAACCCTGTGTGACAGCCAAGTGAAGTTCCCTAGTCGTGTTTCCATTTTGTAGCTCCATATTCACGATGGTGAAGTTCCGTCAGCCCTTGGTGAGGCCTTCATGTAAGGGACAGGTTCCTCCAAGTAGCAAGTAGCTAAAAATCCCTGAGGAGAATCTGTTTAAAGGTCTCACTAGATATTTTGTCTGTTTGATCCTGCAGGAATTTTATGATTCATGGTAGAAAATCACAAAACAAGAAAATCCAAATTATTGGGGCCATCTGGGATGTCTGAGGAAGCCGACTTGGTAGGTGTGAGGGAGGTGGATGCCAGGAGGGTGGCAAAAGACACAGGTGGAACTAGAGTGAGGCATGTTGTTGGGAGGGTTTCTCGGGTTGGGGAAGGTCCTCCTTGGGAAGGGGAAAAGGAACCCTCAGGTGTGAGATGTGGAGCTTTAAAGGATTCTCAGGAGTGGTGGAGCAGACATATTTGTAGTTAGGAGGATGGTGGACAGTCAGTCTGGGCTCCCTCAGTCAGAGGCTGGGCCAGTTTAAGCATTGAAACGCAAATCCATGAAGTCAGCTTGCCTGGAACTCCTGTAGGTGGGCAGCAGTGGGAGTGCACAAGATAATCTTTAGAGGGCCTTTCCATTTAGGTGTCAGGGTAGGCATGTCACCAGAAGGAGGAGAGAAATATACCCAGTCGCCTGGGGTTAAGGGGAAAGAAATGTGTGACATGGAGGGATCAGGTAATAGTTTCCTGGTGTTTCCAAATCTGTGTTTGGATGAAACTAAGAAGGAGGTGACTGAGATGTTCTGGAAGAATGCAGGGTGAAGGAGTCATCACAGATAGTAGGGGTGGGCTTCCATACATCACCTAAAAAGGAATGTTTGAGTTGGCCTTTTGGGGAATGCCCAAAGGCAAAACAGGGTGACTAGGAGAAATTTGACCCAGTGGAGATGTAGTTTGAGGGAGAGCTTGGTGAGGGTCTCCTTTAGGGTGCGGTTAATGTGTTCTACCTTGCCTGAAGAGGTGGGATGATAGCGGATGTGTAGATTCCAGGGAATGTGGAGAGCCTCAGCAATGAGTTGTGTGGTTTGTGAGGTAAACTCGGGCCATTGTCTGATGCCAACAAGGTAGGGACCTCAAATCTTGGGATGACATCTGTGAGCAAAACAAAGGTGACCATGGATTCCCTTTTGTTGGTGGTAGGAAAAGCTTCCCCTCATCCTGGAGGAGGAGATAGAGATACCTCTTGACCCTGGGCATGTGTGTGAAATCCAATTGCCAATCAGATCCTGGAAATTGTCCTCGAGCCTGGTGGGCAGGAAAGGAGCCTGGCCTGAGAAGGGTATTAGGATTGGTTCTTTGACAAATGGTGCAGTTAGTGGTGAGGTCTTATTAAGCCCCTGAACCATAGGTCCTTAATAATGGGCTGTAGGCCCTGAAGACTGCTAGTTGGAAGAGGGTATCAAGATTGACAAGGGAAATGCTGAGGGTCCTTAAGATGAATTCCGACAGGGACACACTGAGCCAGTGTGTGGAATTGTCCCAAACTTGAGGGTTTACCTCCGGAGGGAGAGAAGTAGGGGAGCCTATGGACGTGTGGGTTGCTGCTGCAAGGCTGAGGATAAAAGAAAGGGTGGGATGGAGTGTGATGGAGGTATGAAATTTAGCTAAGATGTCCCTTCCCAATAGGGGAATGGGGCCTTGGGGCATTACCAAAAACTGGCGGGAGAAAGGATAGTGGTAAAACGTACAAGAGAGCTTGGAGGTTTTAAGGGGAAGGATTCTATGTCCCTCTACCCCAACAATGGGGGAACAGGATTGAAACAGTGGGTCACCAAAACTCCCTCAAGACTGAATAAGTGGCCCCTGAGTCTAAAAGGAAGTTAATCAGGCGTCCATCCACCATAATAGTGACCCTGGGCTCCCTGAAAGGTGATGGTGGTCGTAGGGGGAAGGGGGGGGGGCGGGGGGGGCCGGATAGTTCCAAGGCCCCTTCAGTCGTCTGTTGCCAGCCCCAAAAGATCCAGGGCTGGGCTCAGGGCGGATCTAGCTCCCCTTCGGGGGGCCGGGCCAGGCAATCCATGGCCCAGTGACCCCTTAATTGGCATTTAGAGTGTGGATGCATAGGTGACTTGGGATTAGGGTACTCTAAACAGGGCCCAGGGCCATCTTGGGTGGTGGGTCTTTGGCCGAAAATGAAGGGGCCCGTGGGGTAGGTCCTCGTAAAACTTGTGCCAGCATCTACTTAAGAACTAGGGCCACTGCCTGGTCAGTCTGAGAGAACAAAAGAATTCCCTAAGTCAGGGGACACAACATGAGGTGAAGGGACCCTCCACAAGGCAGGGAACAAGGGGTGGGGACTTAGAAGGATGACCCAGAAGCTTCAAGTCACAGAAACACACATTTAAATCAGGCCTATATAGGTGAATAAAGCCAACTATTAAGAAGAAAGCATCTGTTCCAGGGTAAACTGCGTATTTAAAATTGTCCAGAGTGTAAACAGAGATCAAGTACACAAGTGAAAACAACAGTCCAGTATAGACCACTTTGAGGCCAACATTTCCATGTCAGAATCAGCATTTTTGAGACTCAGGCTCTGGGAGGATGGAGAATTTGGAATCAAATGATATGCAGTGAGGAATTTCCCAGAAGCAGACAAGCTGACACAGATGTTCCAACTCAGACACCCAGATCCACCCAAAGAGCCAACAGATAGCAATAGAACTTGCCTCTCACAGTGATCACAACAAAACAGAAATGTGAAATCTTACTTACAAATATCTCGAAAATGGATAATGAGCCTGGCCACGAGGGAAAGGTATTCGTCCTAAAAGTAAAAACAGGAAGCAGTTTAAATCCAAATGGAGAAGCATAGCCATGTGACTCCCCCATCCCACCCCCTCAACCCTGGCCAACCAGAGGTTCTTCCTTCAAGGCTGCTGGCCTCTGGGGCCAACTGAGATGGCTGCAGTCATTCAGCCCAGCTCAGCCTCCTCTGGAATCCATCTCTCAGAGGAGAGCTGTCAGTGCTCTGCTCTGCTGCTGATAAAAGGCACAAAGAAACAAAGAAAGAAGGATACTTCAAAAGGCAGCTCCTCCAAACAAATGGAAAAATCATTCAGCTGAGAGAGCTGGGAGTCACCTCAAGTCCCTTCTTGTCACAGAGGGCAAAATCAGGTCCAGAGAGGCAAGAAGGTGGCCTAAGGTCAAGGCCTATCAGAAGCAGACGTGTACAGGCCACAGCTGTCTTTACACTACTGGTATGGAAGAGCTTTTGATTTTAATGACCAGCCTGTAGCTGCCTTTCCTTGCAGACGTGGTATGTGCACGCAAATCTGCATGAGGTACCCCTGGGCTGTGCCTGCTGGGAATCCATGTTTCACTGCTAGCTACACAGGCAAGGGAGGGAGCAAAATGCAACTCAAAGGTGACAGGTAAAAGCCACTGACTGCCCAGGCCCTGTCTAAGCTGCCATATTTCTGGAACTGCCCAGAAGGGCCTGTCTTCCACTAACTGTCCTGTCCTGTGGGCACTCAAGAGTGTTCTGGGGAAACCACTACCGAGAAGGATGTCTGATATAAAATCTTATTTCAGAGAAGCATACTTTCTTCTCCATGGAAATATCCATCCTTCTAGCAAGGCAGCCCAGAAGGGGGAAGCCCTTATTCCTATGCTGCTGCACAATCATCCTCCTAAGTCACTGTGGTACTCAGAGTCCACTAGACAGAAGACAAGACAGAAGAGAAAAGGGACAAGAAAATAAACATGAATTGGGTGTGGGTTAAAACCTAAAGATACTGTATTTATATCATTATTACTCTTCACCTATTTCCACACTCCACCCTACTGCTATTTTTCAGCTAGGGTAATTAGAACAGGACAACAGGAAGGAGAAAAGGCCCAATGGAAAGAAGCTGGGAGGAACTGCTGAGGAGAAAAAGGTACAAGGAAGCACTGCTGGAACACAGGGAACCTGAGGGGGTTCTGTCAGTACTCTAACTTCTAATGGCCCCAACAATTTCTAGTAGGAAAGACAACATGCTAGAGGTAGAAGGAACCCCCGTACATACTCAGTTGCCTACCAATGCCACGTACCTGAAAGACCTGGGAAGTGGAAGCAATAGAAGTGTGGGAGCCAAAGGAAACCCGGGAATGGAAATGAGGCAGTCAGGTCTAGGGGGAGAGAACTTGGAAGTCAGCCAGTCCACATCTGACTTCTCATTAGGGGACTAGACTACCTTGTAGGTCTGCAATACCTTGAAAGAATCTGTTGAGTTTTCTCTATTATCATGAAAGAAAAACAGGTTTACGTAGACTTAAGACATGATAAATGATGCTCAAGAGCATGTCCCCAATGCCTTCTGCACAGAAGCAGAACCTAGTTACACCCACTGCCAGTAGTCAGATAAGTAGACTTTACCATGCTACAGGTAAGTCACCCTGATGGTCAAGAAACTTTCTAATGGATGAAACACATTTTTTTTATTCTCCCAAAAGCAAGTCACACAAGAATATGTGGGGCTAAGTCTATGGGTTAGTTCCAGCATCTGACATTACAGTGCTGATCCCCCAGGGCTAGGCTATCTTTTATGCCCCCAGCTACTTATTTTCTACTGTGAATGATGGTACCTAACTTATCTCCTACAGGTGAGAATTTTCAGTCCCTGTTCAGACAGAGAGATAATGGTACTCCCTTGCTCCAAAGCACTCAATTTGCCATAATGGCCCCTGAAAAAAAGGGCAAGGGCAGGTAACTACTACCTTATCTTCCTTCCAACTCCTCTGCTCATTATCAAAAATTTAAAGTGACCAGGCTACACCCAAGTCTGTTATTACAAGACCATAAACAATAATACCATAAGGGCTGGGGTTGTGGCTCAGTGGTAGAGCACTTGCCTGGCACGTGTGAGGCACTGGGTTTGATCCTCGGCACCATATAAAAATAAATAAATAAAAAGAAGGTATTGTATCAATCTACAACCCCCCCAAAATATTAAAAAAAATAACTCCATAACAAGAGCAGCCAACACTCAAGACACTCACCCCTGACAAAACTCCTCTAAAGACTACACATACATCGATGCTTTTAAATCCCCCAACCATCTAGTGCTGCTGATATGTCCAGATCAGAGAAAATGAAAGCATTAAAAAAAAAAAAAAAAAAGCTTGATGGCTGGGATTGTGGTAGAGCGCTAGCCTCACATCTGTGAGGGCACAGGGTTTGATTCTCAGCACCGCATATAAATAAATGAGTAAAATAAAAGTCGATCCACAACTAAAAAATATATATATATTTAAAAAACAAAAAGGCTCAAGGCATCTGAGAAGGTAGCCTAGTGGTAGAGCATGTACTTAACATGTGTGAGGCTCCAAGTTTGATCCCTGGCACACCACAAACACACACATACAAGCTTAAGACTCTGAACATATGCTTGATGTATGCAAGTCTTGCTTGTTCTCTCCCCCTAGACTTGTCTGCCTCATTTCCATTCCCAGGTTTCCTTTGGCTCCTACACTTCTATTGCTTCCACTTACCAGGAAGGCTCAAAAATATGCAATGGAGTGAGCCTCAGAGACAGTGGGAGAAGTTTGCACACTCCTTATAAAATACCATCAACTATGTACTCTGTTACTAAATGCTGCCTTTTGTATAAGACCTGGGAAGTCCAAATCACTTAAATCTGTCAAAAAAAATACTAGAAGAATAAACCAAAATCATGGGTTAAAAAAGGAAGATGAGCCTTTTCCAAATGTACTGGTCTTTGCCATGAAAACATGTAAATCTTTCACCACGGAAAAGATAAAACAAAGTGGTGGCACATACCTATAATCCCAGCAGCTCAGGAGGCTGAGACAGGAGGATCCCAAGTTCAAAGCCAGCCTCAGCAACTTAACCCTAAACAACTCAGTGAGACTCTGTCTCTAAACAGAATATAAAAAAGTTCTGGGGATGTGGCTGAGTGGTCATATACCCCTCAGTTCAATTGTTGGTACCCCCCCCCCCCGAAAAGGAAAAAGAAAACAGCACAATTCCCCCCAAATTCAAAATCAACCAAAACAAATGAGTTAACTATCAAGTCAGTGGTAGAAACATACAGGGTAAAGAATTCCGTTGAGTAGCCTTTTTTAAAAAAAGGGAACAAAAAACCTAAACATGCTACAAGGAGTACATTTTAAAGGACAAAGCTGCAAAATAATCTCAAACTTTTAGTCCACAATTTGTTACTAGTGGTATTAAGCCATTTATGCTGAAACCCTTTGAGAGTAAAGCAAGCAATTATGCTAATGATATTGAAAAACAAGATGTTCATAGTAACAGAAAAGACATGGTTTAAAACCAAAGTAAAAATCCTGCAAAGGTAATCTGAATTAGAAACATCACTTTAATAATACCTGGCTTTTTTTTTTCCCCTTTTAATTTTGAAACAGGGTCTCATGAAGTTGCTGAGGCTAGCCACAAATTTGCAATATTCCTGCTTCAGCCTCCCGAATTGCTGGGATTACAGGTATGCACCACCACACCTGACTTATGGGGCATTTCTGTTATTTCAAAAACATGTATTTCTTAGTTCTATTCACAAAAAGGCCCAAAAGCAATGAGCAGAGCTGAGTCCACAATTGCATGCACTGAATGGCATTTTACCCTCAAAAAAGGATTCAGGGATCCTTAGAGGAACACGTAATCCCAGGGCCTAAATACCAGCAAGCTAGAAAAGACTAAAAGGGTTATGTAAGGAGCCCTAAGAGTGCAGGGGGCATGGGAGCTACCACTGAAGGAGGACAGGACCATCAATGCAAACTACTACAATGAACTGAAATACACCAAATACACATCCCTGAAGTTAAAACGTTGCTCAAAGAAGAGAACCCATCTGTGGCCCCCTGAGGACACTCTTTGCCCTGGAAGGAATAATAACAGCATTCCTGGTGGTCTAGAACAAGTAATATTAAAAAAAAAAAAAATTCCTCCCTGATGACAGAAAATGCTTCTTTGACAGAAAAACTTCCATGTGATAAATATGGAAGAGCCAGAATTAAAGACAGTTACCATTTTGCAATCCTTAATTAAACAATAGAATTATTGGATAATGGAGAACTTTACTAGGAGTCAGGCTGCCACCCCTCTAAACCCCCAACAACTGTGCCTCACTGAAGCTCAAGTCACCCAGAAATATCAGAAAAGGTCACCTTGGGTCCATTCTTGCTAACAAGACTATACCCCTCTGTTCTTTCAATCTAGCACCCAGTTCACAACGAGGGGGCAGACAGGAGTGAGCAAGGCATCAGGGACCAAGCAGAAGACTGCTGGGCGGTTTTTTTTTTTTTACAGGCTGAGAGAGGCCTGAGGGGAGAACAGACCCTCATTTGGATCCTGATTCATATAAACCAACTGCTAGGAAAAAACTGCTGAGACGTGAACAAGGCCTTTACGTTGACTGAGGTTGGGTTATTGTTAAGTGGGGCCCTGGTGCGTGTCCTGTGTGGAGAAACTCTCCATTTGCAGGGATACAACACCATGAAAGCTGAGACCTGCTTTGAACAATTCAAGAGAGACCCAGACAGGCCAAACTGCAACAACTTCAGGCTCCACGAGTCTGGACATTTATGTCTCTGAAAGTTTTCCTAATACATTTAAAAATATGTCAGACCTCAGAGGGAATTCTCATCCAAGGCAGCCCCAACAACATCCCTTACCCTTACCCACTCAAGGAAACCACGCTGCCTTGACCTTGCTACCAAGGACAGATAGACACATTCTCTACAACTTTCACTGATTCCATTTTTAAAAATATAGAAGTTTTAGCTGGGCATGATGACACATGCCTG